GCATTGAGTGGGCACTTGTTTAATCTTTTTTTTATAATATCAAGTGACGGGTCGAACAAGGTACACTAGGTACAAGCTACACGCCTGTCCATAACAGTTGCAGTGCCACTTTAAATCGCAAAGATCTGAGGAGCAGTATCACTGCGCCCGTCACCCTGACACATAAGTTGACAAGTTGACATGTGTCTGTAATTTCACCAAATATAAAATAAATAAATAGGACTTTTTTCATCGAGTTCTTAGGTTTTCACGATTGAGGGGCCGGTTGGGGGGCCAACCACTGACCCTACTATAAATTTATAAATTTAACCTGACTATAAATTTATCATAATTGTCAGTTTTAATTGTTAATTGTTAATCAAAAACATTGAAAAGATTGAAAATTGATTAATTGTTAATTGTAGATATACGCGATTAACGATTGATCAATTAATATGATTGAGCAACTAACAATTGATCAATCGTTAATTGCTGTTTCGCAATTGACAATTAATTAATTGTCAATCTTTAATTGCCAGAACAATTAAATTTTGCCCAACACTGCATATATATGTTTTTATGTTCAAAAGTACGTCAATATAGCCTTATGTAGCTGGAGTAAAGTGCATCATTTAATCCTATGGAGTAAAAAGTACCTGAATCTTTTTTTCTCAAAAGTATTTTTTTATCTATACGAATATCTTTCCACGACTCAACATTACCCATATATGATGTTCATATTGATGCTTAAACGTCAATTCTTGAGATGTCTAAGGGCGCGTTCCCATTACGTCGTGACGACAAACACTGCAGTTTAAGATGTCGTGGTTTGTATATTTAAATGAAGTTGTTAACATATAGTACAATACGATTAATTCTCGTTCACGACTTTTTTGACGTTACGACGACAAACGGTCACGACAATGGGAACAGATAGAATGACGAATATAAAACGTCACGGTAAAAACCTGACGACAGATAATCGCATCGAATATTGTCGTCACGTTTTATTGTTGTCTCATATATGCAAACGACAACGCTCCTGCTCTTGTTTGCGATAAAAGATAAAAATTCAATAAGTGTAATAATATAATGACTGAAATTACAGCTGTGCGCTAGAGACACCGTGTATCTTTAGGATGCTACCACACTCGTTAAGGACGCCGTGTGTTTCTATGACGTACGAGCGTCTTAGCGCATTGCAACGTTCCGAATCCGAGATTATACAAATCTAGACTAGAAAACTCGGATCCCCTTCGGATGTCGCTTGTGCACTAAGTCCGATTCGTATCCGAGAAAATACAAATATCGCTTGTACATCTAAAGATAAAATGAACCCTGTGACATTTCGGACCGTCATTTCCCGGATATGGAACTGATATGAATAGGACGAAGTGCGCTAACGCTTTGAAGGTTTGAAAAGTGATTGCTCTGTTATTTTTAAACCCAAGCCTATATCCTTCTTGACTTGACTATGACACACTTCCATGAAAAACACAATCAAGAAATGCTATAGAAGCGACACTTTTCAACAAAACAATATTTAAAAAAAATATCGATTACTAAATCTAGTTAAATTAAACATAAATTTAAATAATCCTCTTATATTACTTGGATTAATATCATATTGCTTAGAGTAATCTCTTAGACTGCGATAATTTATATTGCAGAATAATTCTCTTTCAGGAATTACGTATTTGTGATGTGGTACCCGACAATGGTGAATTTTTTTTTCAACTCACTGTCTGATGATGCATCGAGTAAAAGCTTCTGCCAGCGAGTCGTTGGCAATATCACTGTTGCAGCGGAGGGCGCGAATGTAAGTTTAATTTAGCACTATAGACAAATTTTGAGTTAAAAAACCCCAAACGCGAAATTTAGTGAGCCCAAATACGATAGTTCCATTGCAATGCATTGAAGAGTTGGTCGACTCAACTCAAACGAGTCAACTCGAGGTACTTTATTTATGAACTCGAGTTAACTCATTTCGGTACTCCCGAGAAATCCCGCAGAGCCGAATACTTCATTCATAATTTTCATACAGCGTATCGGCTTCTCGTTTCATAGCGGTCGGTTCGGCGAACTTTGGAGCATGCTCGAGTCGCGCTCGGCTGGTCGATCGTATCCAACTCCGCGAAGGTTTGGGTTTGAGTTCTATTTGCGACACGCGAAAGCTACTCGCGACTCGCCGTTACTCTGTTAGACACCGAGTCAGCAATAACGTCAACAATGGGGCGAGTTGAATTTTTTTCAACTTGAGTAACTCTTGCGAATCTGACAAGGGGCCAGGAGACGAAGCGGGGAGGGTTGCTGCGATGCGTTAAGCCGGGTACTCACTAGTGATCTCATTAAACCTGGGGGGTAGGGGTTCCTCGAACCTAGTCCCCAAGACTCGCTACGGTGAGGGAAGAATGTGAGCGTATTGCCTCCTTCGTTTACAGGGTCGCGCGGTCGCCATATTCGGAGCGAGTCAGCGAGGGGGCCACCTTCTCTGAGTCCCTCCGAAGCTTCTTTGTGCGTGACTACGCTCTCGTAATAGAAAACTAACCTAACCCAACTCTCCTCTTTTTGTGTCGGGGTTTAAACCACATCTGGCAATACATATCACATCTAATTCATCAAATCCTATTGCGCTAATTGTTAACTTGTAACGAGGAGACATTGATATTTGCGAGACAGACTTAGCGTAGTGCAGGAATCAAGACTAATTCTCTATAGTGTTGTAATTAATTTCTTTTTTATTATGTATCTACTTGCACAATTCTGTTGTCAAATAAATACATTTTAATTTTTTTTAAATCATCACGTCTGTAAAAAAAATCGAACACAAGTATATTTGTTTTGTTTAAAAAAAAGTTATTAATAAAATATTTTACAAGCTGTACTGCGTTATTATTCTAAGGCCGTACGTATTTAAATGTTGCGTAATTTGGAATATGTTTTTTGGCAAATGAAAAATGGGCAAGGTTATCAAAAGCGAAAATGTAAATTCAACTTTATAGCTATCAATAAGAACAGATCAAACAGTCAAGAATGATATGCTTTTGACTGTGTATAATAAAATAAAACTCGATTGTATTTATTACAGAATACGTGCACCGACACCCACCTATCTCCAAACACAATCTACTCCGGTTTGGCAATTGGGGTGGCTTTTGCCTGTCTTAACTTAGTAGCCTCCAGTGTGGCCACCTGGCGTCGTTTAGTGCTCACGGCGTCGTTAGTTGTGGCGGCAGTGTCTTTGGTCCTAGTGGATCTCATGACGAACCCTATTGCTAGTATGATATTATTTACTCTCATTCAAATCACTGCCATCGGCATTGGCAGTGTAGCGAGCTATTTTGTTGACCTTTATCCCACTGCTTACCGGTAAGTTAAAATGAGTGTCTTATTTTCCGTTTCATTGTATGTACATTTTACAAGTTTGGGTCAACTTACTATGCGGAAGTGTGGACCGGAATTTTTGTAACCATAGCATCTTTAGCTTATATAACTTCATGTCGATTGTGACTAGTGAAGTAACTTGAAAAAATTGGGGAAAAAACCTATGCGTCTTTTCTAAAAATGTTTTTTTTTTCAGAAAAATTGAAATAAAATAAGTGAAATGAAATAAGACTCTAATAACTGGAACTATTTTACTTTATTAATATTGTGAATGGGCAGTTCCCACGAAATTCCGAAATTCGTACTTTCGATATTTATGAAAATTATTTATTTATTTATTTATTTAATAGTTTATTGTACAGGAAAATACAACAAGTCACAAAGAATACAAGCGAAATTGAAAACAAAAGGTTCTGCTTATTTCTAATAGAAATTTCTTCCTGCAGACCTAAATACAGGACACTATAACTAAAAGAACGGGCATATGTGCATAACAAAACAAGGAAAGAAAAAAAAATATAAAATAATATAAAAATATTAAATTGTTATAAATTATATAAATACTTAGATAAATACATATTTTATAATATCATACCTAAGATATGGATGGAATAGTAGATAAATAATGCTCTTTAACTCTCAATTTAAAAATAGCTAACGATTTACTTTCGTGAACAGTAATAGGAAGTGCATTCCAAAGTCTGATCGCATGAACAGTGAAGGAGTGAGAATAGAAACCGGAATTGAAGCATGGAAAAGATAACTGGGACCTAACAAGAGAGCGACAGGGTTTATCCTGGGAACTAAGGAAGCTGAAACGCTCTTTCAGGTACCCGGGAGACACAGGGTTATGTAAAATATTGTAAAGAATGTAGACAATATGCAAATTCCTGCGGAGACGGATGGGAAGCCATTTGAGCTGACTGCGGAAATGTGAAATTCGTTCATATTTACGAAGCCCAAAGATGAACCTTATACATAGGTTTTGCAGTCGTTCAAGCTTATTTAGCAAATTATTAGGAAGAATTTGTATTTATTTTTTGTAAATTTCGTAGTGCTAATGTAAATTGTTAAAAATAGATGACTTTTAAAAAAGAAGATGGTAGCCAGAACATTTGAGGATGAGGGAAAGACGGTGAGGGAATAATAATAGTAATAAATTGTTTTTTCAATAACTTATTGTACAAAGGAATAACTAAAGACTAATTATCCGTATCAACGTAAAATATAACACATATACCTGAACTAGGAGAATCCTGTATTTCAGGTAAAAATAACTAATTATGTAGGTGGATATATGATTAAATTATAAACAAGAAAATGATAACTGAACAATAAAATGCAAATCATACACTTATACGCTTAATTAGACAACATTTATTTTTTACACAATACACAACTACACAACTGACACACAACTTACCTTGAAGTTTATTATGATATGTACAATATCGTTATAAAAATTTCGTTCCGCCGCAATATAAATTGAGCCATAACGTGGCCTAACATCTTTAGTGTACCATTGTTTTTAGTAATTTGACAAATATACAAAATTTGACGAACTTTTTGCCGCAGCGCCATCTGTGAAAAATAGAAAAAATTTTTCTTCACTCAACCAGGTACCTTTACAGTTACCAGAAGTTGACAAGAGATGTGAAGTTTTACTACCATGAATTACTCCACTAGTTTGTTATAATTATTAATACAAAGATCGAGCTCAAATTCCTTTGATCTGGCAAAACACGAATCAGCGTTTATGGCAACTAAACAAAACTTTTCTCATTTCAGGGCTCTAGTAACTAGTCTGGGACTGACAATGGGCAGACTTGTTTCGTGGGGTGGAGTGAATCTTCTCGGGAACGCGATAGTCGACTACTGCAGTATAACGTTTTATGGATGGGCCGTATTTGCGTGTAGTAAGTTATCATTTGCTGTAAGCCTTACTATGACGTATTTCGAACAAACTGTAATGTTATTTTTCCGAAGCAAGGTCACACCTTTTGAAAATGAATGCTTTTGAATGCTCTTAACGACCTCGGTGGCCCAACAGTTTATACTGTGCAGGGAGGTCCCGGGTTCCATTGCCGTTAGGCCCAATAGGGAATTGCCTAGTTTGAGACCAGGCAATTGGTGTGGTTGTTTGGCACATTATTATTATTGTTATTATTATTATGGATATCTTTTTTGCACTCTCACCTCTCTCATGGCCTAATAGATTCTTTTTGAATTTTTAAATAGGAATGGGCCATCAGGGACACAGGTTGAAGAACCGGCGAACAATAGGAATTATTATTATTATAAGTAGACATTCAATACTCAATATATTTATAGCACTCATAGGGTATACATGTCTTAAATTTAAAATAATGCTACACTATGAGCCCTTTATTAGGGATAACAATAACAGCAGAGGTAGGCCGAGGTTTCCAATTATTAATTAAAATTGTTATTTATCAACTAATAATATAAAATTAAAAAAATGTCATGTAATAAGAAAGAAATACGTCATATTATGAGTACAATTATGACACTTGAAAGTTTGAATTTAATTAGATTACAATGGCATAACTTTATAGTATATAATTAACATTTATTTATTATTCAAATTTATTATAATATTATTATGTTTATTTGTCATCAAAGTATTCATTTAAATTGTAATAGCATTTGTTAATAAGATGTAATTTTAATTTATTTAAAAACAGTGAATACTTTTCCTCGTTTTTAATAATGGGCGGAAGCTCATTGAATATCCTCACCGACATCGAGTGGGGACTTGACCTGTGTATATGTAGCCGATATCGTGGCAGAAGCAATCTATTGCGTGGTCTAAAAGTGTGTCGTTGAGGCAGGTCGTTAGTGTTAGTGTAAAAGTCAGGTTGTTGTTTAATAAATTTACAAATTTCTAAAACATATATAGAACACAAAGTCAAAATTTTAAATTGTTTTATTATTATTAGTATTGTTTATTAAATAATGAACAAATAAATTGAGCTTTTATCTTTCAGGTGGTATAATCGCGTCTCTACTTTTGCCACCAGACAAACGGCCAGGTTTATCTAATTAAATTTAATAGTAATAAATATTAATAAATAAGGGCAGGAGATAGTAATGTTATTATATTCTATTCTACGTTATAAATAAATTAAATGTAAGTAAAATTGTGGTTTAATAATATTGTCTACAATAAGGGTGAGGCCAGCCGAGCGTAATCTTTTGAATTGTGAGTCGCGTTTTTGAGTCGCTTAATTTACACTGTGTGACGTGCTTGCGGGTGGAGTGAGGGGCGAGGGAAAGATTTATTGGCACGTGGTAGTAATTTACAAATTGACCCGGATGTTGACACAAACTTTCAATTAGTATGTGAAAATTCCCACATTTTAGTCTATCTATATCTTCTTTTTCTTTTACTAACTGTTGGATCCCGGCTGAATCCGTTTCAAACGGACCGGACTTGTTGGTTTCTTCTTCAACGAGATTCCGTATAACTTCGTAATTTTCCGGTTTATTGAAACTTATGAAAGTGGACTGTACACATTTCCATAAAAACTTATTATACAACTCGAATCGGAATATCGAATAAGAATGAAAGCGAATTGACGATATACGGCGTCTCCCACAACGTACCGACCCTATCAATGGGCTGCAGACGCCGCCCGGCCAATCAGAGCCCCTGAATTATTTACGTAATTCTACTCATATTGCTTTGCCCGGCCAGTCGCGTGGCCGTCCGTAACACTGACGTCATCTAATGCGTCCTAAAGGCACACTATATTTAATGGATCCATATCGCCATATGACATTAACACCCGTACAAACGATTAAAAGCAACTGAATAAAACATGTTCGTCCGCCACCGCAACCGAATTTTAGTCGAATGTAAACTACGAGACTCAAAAAACGCGACTCACAACTCACAAAATTACTCTCGTCTGGCCTCACCCTAAGCGTTGTTCCAAGACGGCTGACACATCGTTTCCCTTTCCGTTTATCGTTCCCGTCGTTAGGAAAACCGAGTGTAACCTCAACTTAAAGAATGAACTCACCCTCTTTAACATCAATGGAAAACATTCTGAGTAGAAACTCGATTACATATAGCTGTCTCTTTTTAACACACAGTGGGAATAACAATTGCCTCTTGTTGAGCGCTGTTGGCCTGGTAAATATGACTAAAATGGCGGATCCGTCACGGACGCTTTACCCTTAAAACAAATAAGGCTAATGGGCATTCAAACCTTTGCACCTCAAAATTTCGCTGTCAGCCACACGATAAAACTACGATATTTGGCCGCTTTATACTTTGAACTTTCACTAATTGATACATGGAACTTGGCTCTGTTGATTATGAAGAAAAGACAACTTACTTTTCTTTATATTTTTAATACAATATTTAGAATATAGAATGGTTACTTTCCGCATGGGAAACCGCTTGAAATCTTTTCAGAGAAGTTTCCACGACATCTGGATTACCAGGGCGACAAAGAACGTAGGCGCGTGTCCAGGCATAGGAATTTCTCTAACATAGAGCATAGAAACTATTTTCTGCTTTGGATAGTTCAGAATTATTTTCAAGTCTTCTCGATGGTTCGATGCAAATACATCAAAAAAGATAATGTAAAAATATTTATTACAATATTTATTTTAGTTGTGCAAAAGGCAAAGGTTCAGGTAGTTTTTTATTTAAGCCAAAAATAAATAAAAAAGTTTAGTAAGTTTAAAATTGTTCAATATATTAAATGTGTAGGTGAGATGTAGATAGAGATGTAGATTATAAATGTTGCTTTAAATGTTAAAAATCAACCAATGGTAAAGGACATGTCCTTCAGTCGTAACATATTTTATTTGATTTTAAATGCCTAATTAAGAGTCTCATTCTTTTTAAAACGTTTTATAGTAAAAATTACAAATTGGCACTTCAGGTTCTTTACCTCTCACTTAGAGAGATGCAAGTTGTGCTGTCGTCTTCAAACGCGCAAACATTTATCACCAAATAACATGCTGTAAAGGGAGAAATTTAAATTCAAGAAATTTCTCTCATAACAAAATGATACCTACAAAGGAACAGCTGCTGACGTATTCCGTAAGTACCTACTCCATCGAACCTGTCTTATCTCCCCTTTTCGTACATTTTTGGCGTGGGGTGTAAACGGAGTAAGGGTGTGGGAAAATCAATACATTGTCGCATGCGCGTCGCGGCATCCCGTGTTTGTCATGACCTCCTGCGATTCCTGGTAGCTTAGTATTCCCGCCCACAATTCTGAAATTTTCCTGCCCTCCTCCAGGGTTTCCCGGAAGTAAACCTTCTGCTTCCGTCTCGTAGGGCGGTCGGGAAACTGGTTTTCATGAACGTGAGGAGCGTTTTCAGGAAAACGACTGAAGGGGGAGCCTCAAGCTAGTTTGATGCTGAAGGAGGTGAGGTTATTTTACTGCGCATTTTTTCTGCGCAAGAAGTAACAAGTGGGCTTCGTCAGGTGATATTGAGATGGCAGTACAATGAAGATGTTTTGAATGAACACTTGTTGCCAGCTAGGGGTTGAAAAGTAAATAATAAACAATCGATATGGATAAAAAATATATTTCATTATTCTTTAAATAAACCTAGTCAGTCGTTTCTCGTTTCTAGAAGCGAAGTCGATTAAAAAATTTTATGTAATTTTAAGTTAATATTATTAACATTTAATGAAACATCGCTCTATTAGTCTTGCACAAATCTAACTTCGAATATGAAATAGGAACTCAGTAAAGTTGGAGTTTAACTCCATAATCTCAAACGTTTACTCTAAGGGTCGTATTACAGAATTCTACTCAATACTCAAGTCAGGACTTGAGTATTGCAGTGAGCACTGAAAATCATAAAATCTTGAGTATTCAAGTCCTTGCCATTAGGGTCGTATTTCCAGTGCTTGAAATCATACTCGAGTCTGCTCAAGTCCTGACTTGAGCATTGAGTAGAGTTCTGGAATACGACCCTAAGACTTGCCGCTACCTGATCATAGAGGGAGAGCCTCTTTTCATATTGATTATTGTATCCTCTGCTCTGTATGGATAATTTACAGCAATACGTTCAATAAAATTTGTTCTCAGGTTAAACCCTTTCTCTTCACAGACAGCTCGCTAGTTATCATTTATTCTGATTCTCGTACACGTTTAAAACTAAAATCGAAACTGGTTTAGTCTCCACTGATTCGGTTCGTAGTGCTTCATGCCGGTTCATGAGTTTGAAACTGTGTTGGTTCTATATTTGTATTGTTTTTGGTCATCCTGTTTTTGCTAGGAAGTGTGAAACAGACTAGACCATTAACAATGATGATCCCACCAAAGAGATAGAAGCTAACCGCACAGTTGCTGTCCAGGAGGAAGCCGATAAGGTTGGAGCCGATCATGGAGCCAACTCGGCCCATCATCATGGCGAGGCAAATAGCCATTGCTCTGTGAGAAAAAAAAACAAAGTATAAACATAAACACTTCCCAAGGGAATTGCCAAGAACAAATGTGTGTGCGTTTTCCCAACAGCAAAAATATTTGATAGATTAATAAAAATGAAAGTAAATTAATTCGTGAAGGTTAAATCGTGCAAAATAGCTAGGCTTGTATTGAATATTTTTTTCTTATTTTCATGCACTTATATAACGATGGTAATAGTGGGGCATAAATATGATGAACCGGTCACTCTTCAACAAATTTTTCGGTTGACAGTCGAACAATCAACAACTCCTGAGGATGCCTTGGAGAGAGGCGAAACACGTGTCGGATTTTTTTTGACTTTAGACTATAGTTGCGCTTGTGTTATACATTTTATTAATTTTATGCGGAGAGGGGGTGGAAAAATTTATGCATGAAAAAAAAATTCAAAGCGCAGCTATTTTTCACGATTTAACTTTTACTGGGTTCGCGGAAAAGCAAATCAATTTATTTCCATTTTTATTACTACAAATATTCGTGATATTCAAAAACACACATCACACAGTTTTGGAATAAATATAGAAAAGAATTTCGGCAACGTTACAATAATTCAGACATTATAGCTTAACTTTCGGGTACATATTCAAGACACTTCTCAATTTATAAGTGGCAGTATTAACCTGAGTTTTGTTGGGAACAATTCCACTGAGACTGCATTCATAAGTCCAATACAAGCACCGCACATTTGGAAGATCGCAAACAGCATAACTCCAATGGAAGGGTCTTGAGCTAGATGCGCTCCAATGCCACAGGCTCCCGTCACTGATAGGATCACGATGAGGATGAGCTTCTTGCCGATATAGTCAACTAGAAATCCCACGATGATGTACATTGAACAGAAGACGAGACCGATGTAAATGGAACGCTCGAAGGTTTCTACGTTAAGAGTGTCAATGCATTCGGCCTGTAAAAGAAAGGATTCAGCGTTAAATTTACATATAAGTTTCATCTACAATAGCACCATTGAAGTGAAGAATCTATGTATTTATTCGGACTTTCAGTCTCGCTGTTTTTGCGATCAAAAAACGAGACTTTCGAGAGTGTTTTAAAAGTAGGTTTCCATACTTATAGACTAGGCATTTAAAAGTTAGTTTTTCATTGTTATAGTAGGTACGTAAGAAACAAAGGGCGTTTAGTAGGTACAGTTTCTGACTGAGACGACCTGTTTTGTCACTACCGGTCTTCAATCTCCACAAATTATCTGCATTCTACAGTGTTGCCACGTCCATGTAGTCCGAATAAAAAATAAGTAATGGCTTAGTGGATTTGTTAGCACTTGAAATATTAAAAACTTCGATAATCCCGAGACTGAAGACGTCAGTCTCAAGTCTCAAATATCAAAAAATTGTCGAGACTCTCGAAATTCTAGAGACTGAGAATCCCGAGATGAAAGCCCTAGAGTATTTATAGTCTTTGTCAATATTTCAGATGTCTTAAAGCCAGTAGCAAACATAGGTTTTGGTTTGCTAAAAATTTAGGTTAGTTGTATTACTGCAAGTGTTGTTCCTAAAGAAATAAATAAATATTAGAGGCTGTTCCGATCCCAAAGCAGGGACAGTAGCTGAAGTAGGGATGCACGATTTTTGGCTTTGAATCGATTTTTTTGGTTCGTAATGAATTATATGCTTCTGAATCGATCCACAGATCGAATCGTATGCTCTTGAATAGATCTTGTAAAAATCGTTTGAAAATTAATTTCGATAAAAAAAAAACAATAATTCTGATAGCTTTTGTGGCTTCAATCGGTTATGCTTCAATTTAGAGTGATATTAGTCAGTGAGAAAAGACGTTCAGATGGCGCGGAAGCAGCGACAATCGCCAAATATAGTAGACTAAATTGTACTTAGCAACAGCTAAGTAGCACAAACAGAAAAAAGCAGTGAGGCAACAGCCTAACTGCTTTTTTTGCAGGCCAATATAAAACAGGGGTTCAGAAAGAGACTGCTTTGTTTAAATTACGAATACGATCTAGACGATTCGATAGATTTATTTAAAAATCGTATTGAAATGAAGCGATATAAAAAATACATTTGAATCGATCTTCCTAAAAATCAAATTGTAATGCGCATCCCTAAACGCACGCAGTTAGCATAAGCAGTAGTGTTATGGAAATCGGTAACAATGACGGTACCACAAATACCCAGACTCGAGACAATGTAGAAACGTTCGTTTTCTACATTGACCCGGCCGGGAATCGAACCCGTGACTTCAGAGATGGTAACATCGTGAAAACTGTTGTGCGAGCTACTCGACCATGGAGATCGACAAAATTCAGGATCAAGTTCCTGAAACAGTTTTAAAAGGACACTTACAATGGTATCGTTAAGACGAGGTGCATTGAGGATGTCGCAAATTCTGGTTTCGTTGCCTGTATGGTTGAGCAGGGAGTTCAAAATTGTGGGGAACCACACGTAGAAGCCGTTAGCCCTGCAAGGAGTATTTGATTACGTACGTTTGGTATTTTAAGGTATTAGGTAGTTGTAATACCCATTTACGATAGTCAGACGCTTCTAGAAATATCCTAAAACCATTTGGTATAAGCAAGGGAATGTGGAATTGTACTATATTGTTCGTTAAAGTAGAATTTTCAGTTTTCACTTTCGCAAAAAGCACTTTTATGTATGTCGCTAGTAATGAAATAGACGACTCAGTCCACATAAATTTATTGTATAATAAGGTAGAAGAAAAAGATAAAAGGCAAAAGAAGGCTGTAACAATAAAAATAGTATAAAACACAGGTACAATACCAAAAACACTCCCTAAGTGCTACGAAACATGTGTGTAACAGTAAAGAACATATCCCAAAAGGGCCGTGTTCTCTAAAGCTAATAACTTGATTTTAGATAGGTTACATGATTTTAATTGAAAACTGGTAAAACAGATCAAAATTTCTAGTGAAGACGAGCAGGAGTGCTCGCTTCAGACATTAGGCAGAGAGTGGCGATGGAACGAAACAAAGTGAGAAAGACGAGGCAAAAGAATTAAAGAACGATTCAAAATTCAAAAATAAGTGGCCAGGAATCAGAGTAAAGGTGATAAAAAGGCGGGACAACGGCTGACAGGTCACATTGTCACATAACCACTGTTGGTTAGAGCCTCGTTTGGTCCCATGGTCATGATTATTTGAAGATAAACAGTTGTTATGATCAAGTTTTGAATTTAGTCTACTTACGTAGCAAAAATACCAAATTGCACGAAACACGTGAGGCATGTCCAAGGAAGTAGGGGCATTTTGAAGAGAGGCACTGTCTGGTCCTTCATTGATCTCAGTAGCCCCCCTATGCCACTGTTCCTTACTTCAGTAGTTTTGGTATTTTGACTGATTATAGTGTAGACCTGCAATGATGACACAAAAACTGGACTATTCCCATAAAGTCTCTCTTTCAAGTATGCTACACATTAAGGGTACTTGTTCAATTGCACTGAAGGCGATATTTGAACAAAAGTGTGCTTTCAATGGTGTTGACAGTACATAGACATGAAGAAGAATGATTTCATACACTAGTAAAAGCCACAAGTGATCAGATGTCGAAAGTACTTTTATCACGTAAAAATTATAAAAATAACACGATACTTCATGAAACAATTAAAAAAATATATATAAATATAAGCGTAAAATGTTATAGAGAATTTTTTTTCATAGAGTATTTAAATACTCTATTCTGAAAAGTTGTTATTTTGCAGATGTGGCATTATTAGATAGAGATTGCTATTTTTTTTTATTAGAATGGAGTAGGTACATTGTGCACAAAAGGGCGGTAAATAAGATTTATTTTTACCGCCCGGGGTACAATGAATATTTTTCATCACATTTGCGAGAAAATAATAATAGTAATTAAATTTTTTTTCTTGTATGAATAATTATATCGCGTCACAATCATTGACTTACAAATAAATGGACGACGGGTCTAATACAAAAACCACGAAAAAATGTTCCAAGTCAACCTATTTAAACGTAGTGACATGTAAAGGAATATGAAAAAGCTTTTAAATTGTAATGTCATCGCAGTACTGTCTAATTTTGCTTGCTTCGTTGTCAGTCAAACAAACGAAGACTAAAGCGTGAATGACGCTCTGTATACGATTTTAACGCCCTATAAGTTCGGACACTTTTTAGCGCGTACCCGACGTCCATATAATTGTAAGTCAATGGTCACAATACAACAATGACGGATTTTGCAAGTTGCGGGTTCTTTTTTAAATATGAACAGATGGCCAGCTACTCTTCCATAGATAATACAACTCGAACAAAAATTTTGTAAAATGCAAAACCACATACAGTTATGGTGTATTAGATTTAAAATAAATAATTTCGAAATACTAAAAATATTGCTAAATTTATATTTATAAAATTAATTTGGCAAAACAGTTGGTAAATTGCAAATTTTTAAAAGATTTTTTGAAGGTTGAAATTGAAATGAAACTATTTTTCCGGATTTTAAATCGAGTATATTTGTTTTTTTAAACAAACCAACGTCCTATGGTCACGCGATGTAAATCCGGAAAAATACTTTCATTTCCTATGTAAATTTTTATTATTTTTTCCCTCAAATTTATAGGCTCCTAATGTAATGTAAAGAAAATGTCGTAAAGACGTAATCTAGTGCATTACGACCGACTTAGTCTGCAAGTCATGACACTGTTTAGCAAATGTGATTAAAACGAGTATTTACTTACGGGGAACGTGTTTTGTGCCTTCCACTTATTGACAGAGTACATTTTCTGTAAAACGTCAAGGCATTCTTCTTGATGTCCTATAGCATTCAAAAATTTGGGGCTCTCGGGAGCATAGTAGAGAAACAAAGACGCGCAGATGTATGGTAAGGTGCAGGCAACAACGAGGAGTCGCCACGAGCGGTAGTAGATGCCCAGGAATGGAATGTGGAATTCGAACTCCAGTGGAAGAATCAACCAGGAAACAGCTGTAAATAAATATTAAAGTTGTATAACCGTTAGACATATTTAAATCAACACCTTTGTGTTGATTTTCTGCAGTTTTTCACACTTTAAATTTATTTTACTTTAGCAAGTATAAGCATGTTCGTAAAAAACAATCACATAAAAAGAAACGCTCTAAATGTAAAGCTTGTATGAATAGAAAGCACGTAGCCAGGGGCGTAATTCGTTATTGTATTTATATTTATTAATTAAATTAATTACTAAAATGTAAGACTTTGAATTTTACGCCTTATGAATTTAAAATGGATCCGGGCAGGACTTATTGCGAGACATGGTGAAGACAGATGGATTAAGACGCCAAGTGGTGGCCAATAAATGGTTATAGAACATTAGACGTCCTGTAGCGAGATGGGTGGGCGATATTGTAAAAGATGCGGGCCGTAGACGGGTGAGACTAGCACAGGATCGTTGTGGATGGCACAAATTATGGGTGGCCTATTTATTTATTTTATTTACTTATTTATTTATCAGACAAGCACAAACACTTATACATACTAAACAAATAACAAACATGAAACATTGAACAAGCAAGATTTAATAAATATGACCCAACATGTTCCTTTACGTTTACAACGTGTTATAGTCACAGACTTACATTATATCCATTTATGCATACCTACATACATATATATAATAATATATATCAAATTAGTTACAATAATAATTATAAATACCATAATAATCAGATGGAGCTACTATTCAGTACGATAGAAACTATTATCCAACAGTGGGCGAAGTCGGGCTGTGGATGATGATTTTACGACGGTCGTCTAAATTACGAGTGGAAAAACTGAAGCGGAAGCGAAAACTTCATTATTATAAAATTTGACAATTAAAAAGTAGCAGAATTAACTTACATTACGCCTATTTTTTATATACATAATACACAGCGTTTATACATTGGCTAAATTCATAGAAATAGCTAAAATTGCATCTATCTACAAGGATTAATAATAGATGGCGTGGCGTTCTCTGAAATTATATGAGAATTCTCTGTAAATTCTCCGTAGCAACGCCATTGTAATTGTTTTTTTTTTCTTGTAAACTAATAGTAGTACATATCGAGTTCTTAGGTTTTCGCGATTGTTACACACAGGAAATGAAACTATTTTTACGGATTTAAATCGCGTATATTTGTTTTTTCAAACAAACCGACGTTTCGGGCCCTTTACAGGTCCCATGATCACGGTTGACTGAGGTGGTACAGTCTTCAACCAGTTATGTTTAATATTGATGCAAACCACCTTATTTTTTCACTATAGTTACAATAGTTATTAATTAAATACCTTATTTTTAATTTTACAAAGAAAACATTCCAATTTACGCTACACATTAAGTTTTACAAATTGTTTTATTGAATGAATTTTTATTAAGTTCAATTTCTTATTAATTATTAATAGAAATTAGAATAAACTAAAACGTATTAATTAGTACTGAAGTCTTATGTCTGTTTGGGATTTTTCATCAGAGGAAATACTGGATCCCAAACTGGTGGTACGGAGAAACCATCTTGCCTGTTGAAATTAGGATGTTTTTTTAATTTCAATGGCCTCTCGCAGCATCCTGGGTAGATAACGGACTTGTTTTGCAAGGACCTGGGGTTTGTCAAACTTCATTGAATGTGTAGGTTTACCCATGACATGCTCGCAGACTGCAGACTTGTTACGCGACGGTGTTTGACATCAGCTATATGTTCTTTGACACGGGTACAAATACCTCGCTTTGTTTGTCCAATATAAGATAATAAAAATACGCTTTGTTTGTTTGAAAAAAACAAATATACGCGATTTAAATCTGGAAAAATGTACTACTATTAGGAAATGAAACTACGTTTCCTAATAGTAGTAAATTCACAAAAAAAATGTTGACTAAATACATTAGCCGTTCATTACAGTGGGTAATATAATAATAAAAAAAATGGGGTGGCGTAGCTACAGAGCATGACACGAAAAAGCGAGGACGACGGCATCGTGGTTCAATAAGTCCAATAAGCGATAACGATTTTATTTCAACAATTGCAAAAATGTATATTTTTAAATTTAGATATATATTATATTTTATATACATTCCAGATATTTGAGACCTAACGAATATCCCAGATATCTGAAATACAAAAGAGATGTATACTTACCAGGTAAGACAACGCTTCCAATACCAACAAAGGACGAGCCAAAAGCAACCATCTTGTCTCTGTGGTGCAGGTTATTAAACTCGCCGATGTACGTGTACACTACTGCCGTGGAGCCTGACATGCTGGAAAAACAAATCTGATTTAGACTTTTATATAATAATGATAGCGAAGGAATGGAATTCCTTGCCTCCGTCTGTGTTTTCGAGCACATACAACCCGATAAGCCTAAGGCTACGATTCCACCAGAGATGTACGAGGTAGCTAGGCAGTGTGCTAGGAAAAAATCCACCAATAGGATTACTTCATTTTCCTAGCCTCGCTTAGGGCAGCTCTGGTGAAGAAGGGCTAGCGAAGCTAATTATTTATAAGCAGAAATGAATTATTCATATATAATATAATAATAAAAACTAAACAAATAAAATGAAAACACTTTTTTTTTCTGAGTACAGTAAACTCTACCTAGTAGCAAAAATAATTTTCTTCGCACTTTTTGTTCTGCAAAATCATTTAAATGTAGTATAATAAATTTATACTGACGCAAACCTTATGTTCAATTGAAATCATAGGTAACCCAGATAAATTATTTAGTGTCATGGGGGATCGCAGATATTTTTTTATTATTTTTAATTTGGAAAAGCTTCTTTCAGCGCTTGCAACGGTTATTAGCAAAGTTAAAAGAATCCTGAGAGTAATACTGATATTTGGACCAAATTTGAAATTTGTTATAAATAAAAGAAAATCGGTAAAAAATTCAGGAGGGTTTCCCTGTATTCTTAACTCAAAAATAGTGAAGAATTTTCTAATTACATTTCGATTCCTTCCTTCTTGCTTATTAGGAGACGGCATTAAATAAATTATAAGATAACCACTTAAATAGTAATAAAAAAGCCTTAGAACATACGTTTAGGTCGGGTTGTAATTTTTATTCTTATAAATTTAATTCTCATTTTGTTCTGGGCAAATGCCCGGCCT